TGTTGTTGGTGGATGTGAACAAAGGAAGAACAACCAAAAACCTTTAATGGTAAGTCAGAAGAAAAAGAGCGGATATGTGGATAGTTTTTTATGAGAACATGACGAGGAGTTTGGAATTTTAGGACTCGACTAGGCATCCTATTGATGAGATATGTGGCTGTGAGTATGGCTTCCCCCCAAAAGTGTTTAGGCACATGATTAGAGAACATAATGGCACGAGCCACCTCAAGTAAATGTCTATTCTTCCTCTCAGCAACCCCATTTTGTTGAGGAGTATCAACACAAGAACTTATATGAATAATACCATGCTTGGAAAGATAAGGACCAAGAATGGAATTAAAATACTCCTTGGCATTATCTGTTTTAAGAACTTGAATGTTGCTTTGAAATTGAGTAGAGATCATGGAATGAAAGGATTGAAAGATGGTGGTTGTTTCGGATTTTTCTCTCATAAGGAATGTCCAAGTTGTTCTCGTATGATCATCTATGAATAACACAAACCATCGAGTCCCATTTATATTTATTACTCGTGAAGGTCCCCAAATATCACTGTGAATCACAGAAAATGGATGTGAAGGCTTGTATTGTAAACTAGAATATACATGTCTAGTATGTTTTGCAAGCTGGCAAATTTCACATTGGTAAAAATTGGAATTTTTATTGATAAACAAATGTGGAAACAGCTTTTCAATGTACCCAAAATTTGGATGACCAAGGCGACAATGTCATAACATGACTTGACTCTCAACTGAAACAGAATTGGAAACAAGATTAACATAATTTGAACTAGACTCAGAAACACAACTCGACGAATGAACTTGTCTACCAAGGAGATTATTTTCTTTGAGCAAATATAGGCCACCACGCATCTCAACACTACCAATCACCTTCCCCGAATCCACTGCCTGAAAATCACAAAAATTGGAATAGAATTTAGTCACACATTTTAAGTTACGAGTAAGTTTGCTGATTGAGAGTAGCAGTCTAATTTAGGGACATAAAGGACAGAGTAAAGGTGAAGATCCTTTGTTAATTGGACTAATCCGGTTCCTACTACTGGTAAAAATGAACCATCAGCTATTCGGACTGCAGAGTGACTAGTACATGGATTGTAATTTCTGAAACAGTTAATGTCTTCAGTTATATGATCCGAGGCTCCCGAGTCAACTATCCACAGTTTTGGTGTCCTATTTTGGACAATATGAGCATAGGATAGGATACCTTGGTGTGCTAGAAGGCTGGTAGGTTGCTCGACAGAGGATTGTGGTGCTTGTCCGGAACTGGAAACGTGACCAAGCATTTTCTGCAGTGCCTCAAGTTGCTCTTTGGTGAATGGACTGACTTCTGCATTATTTCATGTTGTAGCAGCAACATTTGCATGGTTCTCCCTATCATATCGTTCACTAGATGGCTTCCAATCTGCAGGTTTTCCATGTATTTTCCAGCATGTCTCCTTCACATGACCAAGTTTCTTACAATGGTCACACCATGGTCGTCCTTTCCTGGGCTTATTATTCTGAGAGGAATTGTGTGTGTACAAGGCTGACCCTTCGGAAGCGGGTGTAGTGTGGTTGTCTGTCATCATCAGTTTCTTTCTGCTCTCCTCTCTACGAACTTCTGCAAAGGCCTCCTGAATAGTTAGAAGAGGTTTAATCCCCATGATTCTCCCCCTAACTTCGTCTAGGTCTTTGTTGAGGCCAAGAAGAAATCTGATGGTCCTTTTTTGTTCAACAATCTTCCTATGCAAGGCAGAGTCATCAGGGCATTTCTAAGAATAAATCTCGTACATGTCCAATTGCAGCCAACAGCGTGTGAGAGTGTTGAAATATTGAGTAACACTCGATTCTCCCTATCGTAGATCATATAATCTAGTCTCAATCTCAAATAACTCAGAGGAATTCTCAGTGCTGGAATACGTTTCACGTGCAGCCTCCCATATATCCTTGGCTGTCCTATAGAGCAGAAAGTTTTCTCCAACCTCCGTGATCATGGAATTTATTAGCCATGACATAACCAAGTGATCATCAGTTTTCCAGGCCCGGTATTTAGGATCTGTAGTTTCTGGAGCAGAGATTTCGCCTGTGAGATGTCCATCCTTCCCTCTGCCGCAGATGTACATGAAAACGGACTGTGACCATTGAAGAAAATTATGGCCATGAAGTTTATGATTTGTCACAAGATGAGAAGAAGCATCGGGGACGATAGGGGCTAAAGAATTAGGCTCGGATCTAGAAGTGACTTCCAAGGAAGAAGATTGTGATGCCATGCCGTATTTTGTCATGATGAGAGTACGGCAAGGGAATTTTTTGGGAAAGAGGTGTTTGGCACGGATTAGGGTTCAGAAACCTAGGGCTCTGATACCATGAAGAAATCAATGGAATAATTCCGATTACTCTTGGATAGAGTTAGGAATCTGCACACTATCAAGGTTGGACACAAAAACCTTGTAAGATGGTAGCAACTTCCCATAAGCTACATATCTTTTGATTGGATGACCAGTGCACCCTCAAACACCTTTCCTGTGGGCAATTGGCTGATTAGAGTCATCAACCACTGGCACAATAGAGTCATGAGATACGAAATTCATACCATTGTGATTATCGGATGCAGGAGGACTTGGTTATGGTTCTTGACAATCACGGGTCTGCATAGTGTCCTCTATATGCTCGGTTGGTCTTCTCCTTCTGGTATAGACACGAAGTTCATGATCATTAGTGTCAAGTTGAGGTGGAGTAGGGACAATTGGGGCTATTTCAGTGGCAGAGTTTGGTTCTTCAAGTAAAGTCGGTTGAGTGGAAGTGTTTGAGGCTGTTGAAGGAAAAATGGCCTGAGTATCTTGGAGAAGATCCCAAATCTGATATTCCACACTCATTGAACACCCACATACATTGAATTACCATATTCATTGAATTATCAAGTTCAATGAATCACCCCGTATTCAATGCATCTCCGAGTTCAATGAACCTTCCTTTAAGGATGCTAATCTTAAGACATTTGTGGTATCAGAGCACTCCCAATTTTTAGCTGTGTTAAGAAAATCATTATGAACAAAACAACGGTGAAATTTGAAATAGAGAAACTCAATGGATACAATTTCACATTGTGGAAAATGAAGCTGCAGGCAAATACTGCAAAAGGATAATTGTTTAGCGGCTATTGGAGATAGGCCAAAAGAAATTGCGAATGCAAATAAGTGGGAGGAGATGGACGGCAACGCTATTGCCAATCTACACTTGGCACTAGCATATGGGTACAATCAAGTATTACAAAGAAGAAAAGAACAAAGGAAATATGGGCTACTCTAATGAAATTGCACAAGGCCAAGTCACTCCACAATAAAATCTTCTTGAAGATGAGACTCTACACTCTTCGAATGACCATATTAACACCATGAATACTCTATTTTCTCAGCTCACCTCACTCGGGTATAAGATAGAGTTAAGTAAATGTGCAGAACTTTTTTAGGGCCTGGTTGGTTCATGCGTTTAAACCCATGATTTTGATTTTGATTTTGATTCTGCTACAGTGTTTCTCTCACAAAATATGTGAATCGGAAAAGTTCCCGCCAATGGGTTCTCTCACAAAATTTGAATTCAGAATCAAAATCACTAACTTGAACCCACAAACTAAACGGGCCCTCAAAGTCTACCTAACTCTTATGATCAAATCATCATAATCTTGACCAACAACATCCTTGTGGAGCATCTAGTCTTCAACAATGTTGCATTTATGGTTCTTGAAAAAGAAAGTCCGCACAAGAGCAAGATAAGTTAGCAAGTTCACAGCACACAGAGGCCCTAGTAACAACGAGTCAACGACAGGGAGATCAATGGAGCCCTAAAAGAATCTGGATGAGGTTGTTTCTGAAATTGACGAGTGTCTCAAACCAGACCTAGTCTCATATGCAAAAATTCACACCAAGGACAACCTAGCAGATTCTTTGACCAAGCCTATTAATGTTGACAAGTTTGAATGGAGCAGATCCTCACACGACCTAGTAGAAACATAAGCAGTGTGGCAATGGCAAGATAGAAAGAATTGTGGAGATATGATTGGTCCTCAATCAAGTCTCCAAGTGGAAGTTGTTAGAAATGGCTCAAAATTGACATCATTAAAGGATGGTTCATTGAACATGGTGATTACTGAACTTGGAGATTTATTGAACTTGACAATTCATTAAATGCGGTGATTCAATGTATGTGGGTATTTAATGAATCTGGTGATTCAATGAATGTGGTCGTTCAATGAATGTGATCGTTCAAAGAACCAGGAAGCCTCTTCATGGCGTATAAAAGGCCTCCCCTCCATTCCCAACATCCCATCCTCAAACAATTCTTCTTATTTTCTCCTATTAAATAGAGATTCTAGATAGGTGTTTTTTCCTGTTTCAAGAGAGGCTTTTTGTAGTTCTTTCCTTGTATTTGGAGAGAAAGTTATAACCCCCAATTTTTATAGTAAAATCCTTCTAAACTTGCCTGTGGTTTTCCCCTAATCTGTCTGGGGTTAAATTTCCACGTCCAATTTACTTTTATGCTTTCTCATTTCTAGTATTTTGCTGCCCTCCTTATTCCAACACTAATATCTAAATGATAGTATCCATCCATATGGCAAAAGGATAATGGTCATCAACCAAAAGCAAAAAAAAAAAAATATATATATATATATATGTGTTATTATTTTTAACTTGAGTATATTACAGCCCGGCCTTCAGTTGCTCTAATATATTACACTGATATAAAACCAACAATGGATTGTGGAACAAACAGAAATTGGTGTTAAAGGCAGAGATTCTAACCGACGTAGCTTTTATTTTATCCAACAGAAAATTCTATCATATCACTCTGCGTCTGAACAGATTTAATCCGTCGTGCTAACAAGAGCCATGAAATTCAGGGCCACGGCTTTTAGAAGAAAGATTTCCCTTCTAATAATTTACAAAACTAGAGAAATTGAATGCTTCAATATTAGGTATAATGTGCAAAGAAAATGAAAGAAATTACCTTCACCAATGTATTCAACAATAAAATCATCTTTGTTAATGGATTCAGCTGCCACAACTCCCCAACCGCAAAGGTCAGTCTGCAGGAAATTAACTTATAAAATAAAATTTAGAACCAGCGTCTCTCCAAATATACAAATAAATAAGACCAGGAAAGGAAACAGAAATCTCCAAAAGCAATAAAATTTCAGTAAGAATGCGTTGCACTTTCAACATAATAACTTCACCTTAACAATTTTGATCTTCTTCTCCTTACGAAAAGGCCTGTTCTTGCAATTTTCCGAACAGCGACAAGCCTTTGAGCAACTTATGCATTGAACCCTATTAAATGTAAAACACGTTTCATGATTCAGTGTATAACCAAGCATAATGAGGAATCAGCTGGAACAGATATGCAATTATATTCAAAACAAGAAGTTTCAAATTTTAATTGAACACTGAAAGCATTAACAGAAAAGGTGGGTAGTAATTAAATAGCACAACAACTAAGGCAAAGGACTTCACAAACACAGTTAATTGGCAAGCAGGACAAAGTGCTGACAACCCTCAATTACGAGAAGCAATTGAATGGTGAGAAATTTAAACTAACCAGCATGTCCAATAAGAAGAATTAACATGAGGACAGATTTACTGTGATTTATACTTCATGGCATAGCTTACGGTCGCTTATTCAAGGCCAGGTCACTACTTTGTGAATTTAAAGTTTTGACATAATTTCCCTTCTAATGTCGAATTATTAGTCAGGGGCAAATACGTGCACATATTATGAGAACTCCAGAACCCAAATCTAAAATAATTCAAAATTACCTGCACACACAATCTTGAGAGCATTCAGAATCAGAGCTGCAACTCGTACAACCAGTTCCATCACCAGTATCATCCCGCTTCTTCTTGACAAGGTAAATATCTAACTTTCATTAAGGCTGGTGCCCATTGTAATTATCAACATGATGACGAATAAATACTTACCAACAACTACCGGCCAAAAAAGGATTAAAAATGAGCTTTGACATAATTTTCATTGTTACTCATCTTCATCATTCAATAAATTTTCATGTGTACGAGTGAACATTCGAATTACCAACCACATGTAATTCATCAGAATATAGCAAATACAAGCTCAGCATTGAGGATACTGCGCTTAATGTGAACATATGGAGGTGGCTCATTTTCTGCGTCTTTCCATGAAAAGTCAATCTTGAATTCCTCATCGGCGTAAGGCAGAGGCAAGCGGCAGAAAACCTCCTAAAATATCAAAAATAGAGTAATTCAGGGGTATTTACCAATGAAAAGGCTTTTCATTTTTATTTTCCAAAAAACACGTTAGAAAAAGGCAAGAGTTCTTTTTCATAGATCTCTCAAATATTAAAGCAATAAGTACAGAAAATATATAATGTGAAACTAGGAATCGGGAAGGATATTATGGTGGATAGATTCCAACTCTAGCAGTTGCACGACGGTTTATGGACATTAGAAAAAAACAACTTGAATTGTAAATCATAAAAAATCCTCTCGTCAACTTTTACAATGTAAGGAAAGGAAGCAATGCATTACTGAAAATGCATCATATTTTTTGCCTACTAAAATTTATCGCATGTCAATTCAAATGTCAGTGTATAAGATAAAAGCATAGAACAACAACTTTTGACATAATCTGACCTCTATGTTGCTGGTTGAAGCTGCATTCTGCTCATTCAACAGATACATCAGTCCTGTCATCAAGCCTAATCAATGAAAAATAAAGACGAAGAAAAAACTTCAAGATAGAAAAGAGCACATTTGAAGCAATCAAATGAAACAAAATTTTCAGGCCAAAAAAAAAAAAAGCAAAATGAAATTCAAAATCGCATGTTAACCTCAATATGGTCCCTTATGACATCATAAATAAGAAAAGGAAGAAGCCCAAAAGTAGCAGTTCAAAGTATTGTTTCTTGTAACAAAAGATTTAAAAACAAATTCCAAGACGCTCAATCTCTTTAGTTAATCACATTTGCCAAAGCAACTGTTCATCTTGTATTATTGCTTTTCTATAGATAAAAAATTGAGTTTCTCAACAAAACAATAAGGCAAAACCTTATATGTTATTGGGTTCTTTTATTGCAATTACTAGAAAGGTTTATAAACAACCAAATCCAATTTAGTATTGTATCGTAATCTCCACAGGCTAGATATGTTTCTTTGCAACTATTTCATTTGTAGCCTCTAGGTTCTCTAATAGAAGAAGTATAATGTTGGCAAAAAAGTACCCAAAAATATAGATTTATAGGAACAGAGAAATATACATGGAAAATAAATTTCAGAGTTTCCATATGCCATTATAATTAACTGAGCATAGGCGCTTACGTCGCTCTCAATAATTTAGCAGACAACCAAATTTAGGAGGGAAACAAGATGTTTGAATAAGATTTGCTCAGAAAGGGGTAGGGCACACTATTGGCAAAACATTAAATTGTTTACTATCATACAGCTCCTTAGAATATTGATATCTCAGAAAGGTAAAGTAATCAAGACATTACTAATGAAGGAAAGAAGAAACCTTCCCATCCAGCCGCCAATCTATAGGATGCCTCCAACAAACAGCTTGCCCTGGCCGGTCCTTCAAATCTATCACTTCATCTGGCCATGGAGCACATTTACTATGTGAGGCAACTGCGCATCTCACACATCGCCAAGGTGACTTCTGCTTGCAAATGAAGCACGCCTGCCCAGCAAAATAATGCAATTCAGGCAAGAAAATGTATGAGAATTCTTCCATCATGGATACTTTGGGAAATAAAAGTTCCTGAAACGTACTTATAAAATATTATATGAATAAGAAATATAGGTAGTCAAGACTAACACTCCTTACAAATCAAATGAGACTAGAGAATAGTAATACGTAATACCGTGGAAATAGGGACTTGTAATATAAGAGAGTAACTCTAATAAACGTTTATCCCATTAATTATAATGCCCTTAACCAGATTTTCCTTGCACAACTACGATTAGTTTTGGCTATCCAATGATCAATTATTGAAATATAGAGTAAAACCAAGAACTAGTAATTAATTCATCTTCAAGAAAAAAACTCAACACTACAGATTTTAATGTGGAAAAGAAATTATTGTTTAAATCATTTTTCAATCAAAATATAGAAAGAAACAAATCCTACATGTTGCTAATGAAAGATATTTCATAATTCGTCTCAAGTACACACGTACATGTTGTGGGCACTTAAATTTTTTCAGATTACTGATTCCTAGCCTGTCCTTTACACACGTTGCGTGATAGACTCCTCGACAGCCACGGACAGAGCACAATACCTCCTCTCCAGGATAGATAAAAGAATGGCAAACGAGACATTCAACCTGAAAAATCAAGTTTAAACCATAATCCACAGAGAGTAACAAAATCAATAATATTCAAAACAGTGATTGAAATCCTGATTGCTAATTACCACTCAAATGGTATCCAACAGTGACAATAATGATCTAAAATGAAGAAATTATTAGCAAAGGTCAGTTTATATCTTTCTCTGTTGGGGCTTTCATCAAAAAATAAACCAAGAAACTATTAGCAAATTCAGTTTACTATAACCTCACAACTAATCACTACTGAAAGAACACAAATTTTCAACATTTATCTGCTCGCAAACAACAAAAGATACAAAATTTCAAAGCTCAAGATTCCAAAATCTTTTCTTTTCCTCTAATTTCCGACATTTCGAAAGCAACCAGAGAAAATTCAAGAAACCATACCATTTTCTTGGCGCCCACAAGGAATGGCAGAGAGCAGCGAGACTCGGGAACTCCCGATTCCTTCGTATTGCTAACCCAATCTCGGACATGGTCCTCCAAACTCTTCGAATTTGAAGGCTTCTTGGTCCGGTGGTTCACCTTCATCCTGGGTCTACTTCGCCGCACAACCCTAATTCCACCGCCATTGCTGAGCTCGCTCCGATTCGGACTCGGAAAACGAAAGCGCTGATCCCAGTTGCACTCTATGTCTATGGTTTTGACGGAACCGGGATCGGGCGGGTCGGCGAGCGATTTGAAGTTGGAAGGAGGCCGAGTGACGGTGAGAGAAGCCGAGAAAGATAGGTTTCCGAGGTCCGGCATTGCTAGGAGAAGAAGGGGAAAAAAAAAGCCCTATAAATTTTGGAATTCTTTACAGGTGAATGTGAACAAGAGAGAAGAGAAGAAAACTGGAGAGAGAGAGAGAGAGAGAGAGAGAGAGAGAGGGAAAATGAAAGGAAACATGGAAAGAGAGAAAGGGAGGGAGTTTTGGGCGGGAATGCTTTGGAGAGGTATTTTACTTTTTTTAGCCGAAGTAAAATTGATTGAAATTACTAACGAGGCCCTCTTAGTGGTGGGAATTCACTAGACTGCCATGTTGCTAAGTGCATTGGTAGGTAGCACTAGTCTAGGCTTGGCTTCTGTCATATTTACCTACACATAATCAGAAAAAATGGACAGAATTTAGAATGAGAAATCATAGTTAAAATAAGTTATTTATTTAGTGACAGAATTCAGAATTAGAGTCACTTTAAATTATATTCATACATTTATTTACACTCATAATTGAAATGAATTAGTATAAAAGTACTAATATATCTTTTAAGTAAATTTTGTTTTTTTTTAATTTAAAGAACAAACCGTGTAGTTATTATACTAACATTAATCATAATTAAAATTTATTAGAATAATAGGGTGATGATATAATGAATATAAGTTGCATAATTATTTAAAATATAAATTGTTAAAATTTGAATAAAATAAATAAAAATTAAATTAAAATGTGCTAAATTAAAATATATTATTAATTTTGATAAACATAGTAAAGTACATATTTATTATAATAAATTTAATAATAATTAGGCTAATATTAAAATATTAAACAAATAAAATAATAAATATAGATTGTAATTATCATTTTTTTCTTTTTATTTTTTCTTTTATATTTTATAAGTAAACTAGGAGTAAGATAGTAATTTAATGTTAATATTATGAATGAGAGTCCCAATCTGGAGGGGGCATAGAATTGTGATTGTCAATCACATTCCTTAATCTCAAATTTGAGTGGTGTTCACCAATTTCACTCTCATTCCAATATAAAAAAAGAACAAGTACACATGAGATTGACTCTCATTCTCAAATCCTAATAAGTAAACATGCCACTAGTGTGGATGATATTCTAATCCAATAACTACATCAAGGAAAAGACTAAGTGCCTGTTTAGTATGGCATTTAGAGGCTGCTTTTAATTTTTCTAGAGAAATTATAACAAGTCAGGGTGCTTGGTAAATCATGCTTTTATCTAGTAGCTACTAAAAACTATTGTCAAACAACAAAATTTGAGAAGCAACTCAGGGGTTACTTTAACATAATTACTTCTGTTGTCATTGTCCAAATTTACTAAAATAACTTTAATAACAAACTTAATTCTCTATCTACCCATTTTATTTTTTGATACCAAATTAAGAAAAATGTAATTTTAAAATATTTATTTAAAATTAAAAATCTTTAATAAATATACTAGGTCAAATTTGGCTCAAATACTTTTGATAATTACCAAACTATTTAAAAACAAAAAAAATAAGAAATTTAGTAATTCATTATTTAGAAATATTATAAATAATGAATTAAATTATATATTTTTTAGTATTTTGCGTAAAAATATTATGAATATTGACTTTAAAAATAGAAATGAAATTAACACTTTTAGTGTTAAAGTATGTCTATTTTAGCTATTATATCTCTCCATGACAATTATATACATAATTTATCAAATACTAAAATATTTGCTTATAGTATTCACAACAGTTTTGAAAAGAAAATTTACCAAACATCTGCATCCTTCTAGTCATAGCAACTTCTAACTAACAACACAACAACAACAATAAAAAATTTTAACAGTACAGTAATTGCCAAACTGGTCCTAAAGCTTGCTTGTGGTTTTTTTTCTCTTATAAAATGGGATATTATTAGTGTCATTTTGTCTCTTATCCCAATCGTTTACTGAATAAATTCTGAATAAATTCTGGAGAGAATGTGGTAAATAGTAGATTTTTAAAACTAAATTAAGTAAATAGTAGATTTTAAAACTATTTAAAGTAAATAGCAGTTTATGTAGTAAATTGATCATTTGCCGCGTAAATGGTTCATTTACGATTACTAAAAATACCTTTTTAAGTAAATTTTCTCTTTACGACTAATAAAAATATCTTTTCCACATAAATAAAAATTTTTTAAGGTTTTTTATCTCGTAAGATATTTTTTACAGTCATAAATAAATCATTTACATAGTAAATGATTTATTTACCACATAAATTATTATTTACTTTAAATAGTTTTAAAATCTGCTATTTAATTAATTTAGTTTCAAAAATATGTCACTTACTGCAACTTTCCTAAATTCTAGGGCCTAGTAGTAAAGTGGAAATGACTCTATAAGGGTGCGTTTAGAACTCGTTCTAAAATAATTTTATTTTTTGTATAAAAATGAAAATGTAAAACGTTTTCAATCTCAGACAAAAATCATTTTTGAAAATGCGTTTGGTAGTTTTATCAAAAGATTATTTTCAGTATAAAAAATACATTAATGTCTCTCTTTCTCTCTACTCGAGAGAGGAGAAAACGGAAACAAAAAAATAAAAAAGACTAAAAGTCATTTTTTATTTCTCTCACATTTTACACTAAACTAAAAAAATCATTTTTATTTTTTTTTGTCTTTAATTGTGGGGGCACAAACTTAAAAGTGGCTTTATGTTAATGATATTTTAGGTCTCGTTCATTTCACCGATTCGAGTTTTTAGTTTTAAGTTTCTACAGTAAAAAGTTCTCAGAAAATGTCACATCTAACTTTTTCTGCTACAGTAAAAAGCTCTCATAAAATGTCACATCTCAGCTCGAATTAAAAACTCGAATCCGGCCTTAATGTTAATTCAACACTGTAACAAGTCAAACATACGAATAGCGGGTTAGCCTTTTTATCCCGACTCAATTTTACAGCTTTAAAAGCTATCAAGTAGTTACCAGGTGGATCTACATCTCAATTCAATATCTAATAAGAAGACTTACATGATGGGAAGAAGATATCATTTTGCCTTTATCCTTACGTATCACGAACATTAATGACAACTTTTGAACTAAAATTCCTATGTCAAATGTAGGCCTCTACCATATTACAAAATATGGAAATAAAAAAACGCATTATACGAGATGACAACAGATTGTTATGTTAATATAATAAGCTTAATTTATCGTTGCCGTGGGGTAAAAAAAAAGATTTATTTCGCCATTTGCAACTTTTAAATTTCTTATATATCCTAACATCCTTAATAATTAGATTGATGGATTATAAGTTAATAAGACCGTCTCCAATATAAATGTTAATGTTAATTGTATATTTAACATTGAAAAGTATGATATAGTATGTTCTTTTTATTTTTGCTCTAATATATAATGCTATTTAAAATGTTAAATTTATTTTTTCTTAAAATCATTTTTGAAAGTTGTAAAGATAAATTTTTATTTTTAAAATAATTAGAAATTGTAAAAGTTGCAATGATTATATAAAAAGTAAACATTTTAAGTAATAGCAATCAAATGTCAAAATTTTCATATGTTATACTTGGTGGGAAATTTACCACAAAATATAGTATTCGAGAAATTTGACACAACAAATAGCATTATATTAAAGAGTGTTTTTTGCAGTCAAATGTTATATTTGCAATTATCACATCAATTATAATATTACATTAGAGATGCTTTAAGACCATCTCCAATGCAAAATGCTAATGCTAATTGTATATTTACCATTCAAAAGTGTAATATGGTATGTTATTTTCATTTTTGCTCCAATGCATAATGCTATTTGAAATGTTGAATCTACTTTTTTCTCATAATTATTAAGCTTTAAAAGTTGTAAAAGTAAACTTTTATGTTTAAAGTAATTAGAAAATGTAAAAGTTGCAATGATTACATGAAAAGTAAACATTTCAACCAATGACAATCAAATGTCAAATTTTCTATATGCTATATTTGGTGAGAAATTTGCCACAAAGTATAACATATGAGAAATTTGACACAACAAATAGTATTACATTGGAGAGTATTTTTTATACTCAAATATTAAATTTATAATTGGCACATTAATTATAACATTGCATTGAAAATACGCTAAGATGCTAATTTAGAGCACATCGCAAGTCCCTACTGCCAAAGTTGCGTGCACGCTCCCGGCTCCTCCGTCAGCAGTAAACCTCCCCTAAGGAACTCTTCTGACGATGTCGCGAGTTCCCGACCATTCCCCACGCCAGCGCAAGGATCTCTCCCTGGCCCCCGACACCCCTTCGATGCTAGTAATTATCTCCGCCGCATGATCCCGACATCACGAGATCTGCTACCCCTGATCATTCAACACGGAAAGATCTATTTCCCCTACCCCGCTAATCGGCAATAAGAAATATAAACCCAACATGTGATCATTAAATTTTTAAAATGGATGATCACATTGTTGGTTACTTTGGTTTTCTGTGGGTTTCTTTTATCAGGTTTTGTTATGTATATTTATTCCTGAGAGAGAAGGGATTTATGAAATTGTCTAGGGGATGGATTTTTTATGTGTGTGTGTTTCATTAGTATTATGTTTTCCCCCCTATGTATAATTATAAGTTTAAATTAGATAATATATTATAGAGGATGACTTTAAATACTCTTAAAATAATAATTCATTTATGAATTAATATTAAAGTAACCATTAAAACTATATATATATATATATATATATATATATATATATATATATATATATATATATATATATATATATATATATATATATATATATATATTTTTTTTTTTTTATGTATATAATGTATGCTGTACCAGTTTCCATTCAGATGACTTGTAATTATTAAGATCTAGAAAAAAAAATGATACGTTCGTTTATTGTTCAATATTGCATCTACAAACAAATGAACCAAACATAAAGTTAGCCCTAATCTCTCCCACAATCACTAAGTGAAAACTACATATAATGATCACTTACAAAGAATTTCTCTTCTTTTCTCCCATCAAATATTTCTCACCTCAATCAATCCCAATCTTCCAGCTGCATATTCACAGTTGAAAAACAAACAACAAATAGCGAAAAGAATCCAAAATGAAAAGTAGAACTATCCAACTAATTTTCCAAATGCAATTAATGAAATTCCTCAACCACTAATAAGTTTCTTTTCCTTCTTTTAAGTAAGCGTCCACGTCGAAGTCGCAAGGAAACATAGGTTGCATGAACGAGTTGAGCTCACTAAAGATACCATCGTCCCCATCAGCAAAGCTGCTCGAATCTTGGCATTTGTGGTCATCAAAGTAAGTCTGCACGTTCTCCGGAAACGAGGACTGCGGAGCCTCTGACTCTGGTGGTGGCGGCGGAGATGATGGAGGCGGCAGGCAGTGATCCGCCGCAGACGTCATCTCTATCATCTCCTTGAACTTGGAAGACTGGAGAAGGAGACCTAGGGCTGACGTGGCTGTGGATGGCCGCGGTTGCTGAGCGATTAGGGTTTCGTCAACATTGCATGATGCAACTTGTTGGATGCTGTGGAAAAAATTACCTAGCCCTAGTTTATCAGTCTCTTGGTTAATTAGGCTTTGGCTACTATTAGTATCGGTGTTTGTATTAAGGTTTTGAAGGCCAAGGTTTTCACTAATATGGTTGTGATCAGTAGTAATGGTACTGTTAGGTTTCAGCCACTTGATGTAGCGGCTGAGGTCAAAGTTGGTGATGGCATTGAGTCCGCGGTACTCGATCGCCGCCATGTCATATGCTGTTGCAGCTTCTTCTTGCGTGGCTGCAGAAATTTTATTGTGAAATTGTTAATTAAATAAGTAATTAACTTATGAGGATATTATGAGAATATTGCTGCAATCCATTATGTGCTAGAAAATGTAAATGGTCAAGGGTGGGAAAATAATGGTTGGGGTTTGGTGTACTTTGGCCATCTAACTTTTATTTTTTTAGGGAACTTTGGTCATCCAACTTATCTTAAAGTTGATAGTTAATTAATAGGGCATTTTCCTGAGTTAAGTAAGGATATTACTAAAAAAAAATTATTATATATACATACATACGCATATACCGTTGAACAAAGGGATGAAAATTATTGGCATCCAAACTAATCTTAACTAATTTAAACACGTGCTACGCTTGATAATAACGTTTGTAACTGCTTTTAGATTCTCTCTCTCTCTCTCTCTCCCTGTTTTTTTTTTTTTTTTTTTGGTTGCAGATATTACTACTTTTGAAATTTCAGGTTTGAAATTATAATGAAGTGGTCCTGGGATTGGAAATTATACAACACTATGTTCTCTTTTGATCATCATGTATGATGTAACTTGAATTTATGGTGATTGTTATCACATAAGTTTTGGAAATTATAGAACCATTAACTACATACCATATGTCCCAAGATAAAGATATTTGTTCCCAAAGACTCGGCCAATTCGAGCTTCCCATCTTCCATTATGATGATGTCTGCGACTTGAAATTATTTCCACAAAAAAGGGCAAATTAAAGCTCTAATAATCATACATCAAATTAATTAGATTAGTGACATTAAAAAGTGCTATACAACGAAAAATTTGGCATTTGTTTTGACAAATAAAAATATCCATATTTCAAATTAAATACCTTGCAACACCTCTATATTTTGAAACTCCACGAGAGAAACCACTGCTTTTCCTGTAAATTAAGTTTAGCACCAATATTAATAAATATTTCCTATTAATCATCAAGTTGAATGAGTCAAATTTTAACATCTTCTTTATCAAATATATTTAATAGAGAAAATGTGTACCTTCTCAGTGATCCAATATACTCCTCTCTAGCCACACCTTCCATTTCTTTCAGTTCTTTGTCATAAGTTGATAACTAGAGTTTTTAAATGCAGATCAATTAATATATATTTTTTATTAAAATTCCATCTAAATAATCTTTCATTATAATTATATATCAACACAAAAAAAAAAATGGAACTCATTCAAATTTCCACAAAAAGAAAAAAATACCGGAAAATTGAGGATGGTGTCTTGACCCCAGTATTTGAGTGCCGCCAAGTCATAAGCATGTGCTGCCGCTTCCTCATCATCATATGCACCTGTTCAAACATTGATCAATATCACAAAAGGCCCTCTTAACGAAAAATTCAATCAATAAACTTTAAATAATTTTCTTTTTCTTGTTACAATTATATATATATATATATATTTGTGTATGTGTGTATTCAGAGTAGCATACCAAGATAAACTGAGTGGATGAGCATTATTCCACCAAATTCCACCATCATCAGCAGAGATCCCAAAAAAATAAAGAAGAAAAAGAGAAAAACAAGAAAACCCATCAATAATATTGCCTCCTGCATTAACATATATATTTTTAATGTAAAAATGCCTATCTATAATATGGTTGTTATATGAAAATAATTAATATTAACCTTGGCGTCCCTTCTTGTTCTGTGACTCATTCCAACAATTCTTATCCCACAAATGAGCCTCATATCGACCAGTCCACCGATGCCTAAAACATAAGCAAATTAAACCCAAAAATTAACAACAAAAAAAAGTGTGTTTACACACACATATTATATATATATATATATATATATGTATATATATATAGCTCGCGGAAATAATAGTAACCAACCTAGTGACACCTCGATAAATGGAGCTGCGTTGAGGAGGAGAGTCTCTGGGGACACTTCTTCTGGTTCTCTTCACTTTCTGAACACCAGTTGTACTAGAACTGTTAGTACCGTTATTGTTCCGATTATTGTTTTTGGTCATGGTCTGGTTTTGCAGCTGTGATAACTTCGCCATCTAGAGAAATATTAGTATCAATAATAATTATAATGATAAAAATAATGTATTGTAGAAATCAACTTTGGACGAGAAAATATTGGCGATCCGAGAGAAAGAGATTAATTAAAACGGATATGGTATGACTTGGTCCTCCAAAGAGGAGGCTTTTAAAGGGATGGGATTTAGGAGAAAATAATGTTTTAAAAAAATCTAAAAAAAAAGATTAATATTATTAATGTGGTCGGAAAAAGTGTGGGCTGGCAATTGATCACACGCTAACTGGCCGGCTAATTAGGAGTTGTTTTGTCATGGCCGTCTTTTTCCGGCTAAATATTGCTTTTCTCTTTTTTGTCTTCTTATGCCAACTTTGTGTTTTCGTGCAATCATATTAAAAATCCATTTGATGTATCCATTTCTGTCCCAATTATATGATCACCTTTTGGACTTCTAGTTTTCTTCTGGCACAATTATGTGTTGAAAATTTACAACAATGGTGCTAATTACTAAAATGACTAATATCAACGTCCCTGTGAAACATTTTTGTGGGATCATCAACCTATTTTCTAATTATTAAAGGGAAATAGTAGAAAATATGTCAATATGAAAAATTTAAGAAAGTATATAGGCCAATTTTTAGTTATAGAAATTAATAAGCCATAACTTGTCAAGTTATGGTTCATAACCAGATAAGTTATGGACAAACTTGTCAAGTTATGATTCATAACCAGACAAGTTATGGACAATTATAGACAATAACTTATCAAGTTATGCTTCATAACCAGACAAGTTATGGACGAAAACAATAATTTGACCTATTTATTAACTTACGTAAACTATTGACCTATTAATTTTAATCCATCTCAAGTCTTGGCCTATTTTCCTCTTTCTCCCATTATTAAAATAGGACAGAGAATCATATAACTTTATAATTGTAACATGAGTAAAATAGGACGGAAAATCATATACTTATCAACAATTTTGATTCATTTGGTGATAATAGTAACTATCTTGAATTATGACCGCAATATTGGTTAGCTGCATAGATAAACTATGTTACTCAGAAGTATCACGCCAAGATATTAAAAATTTCAGCAAGCACCGACCATCGACGGACGGTATCCTAAAAAGAGTGATACTAAAACTTCTGGCGACTAATGGCCGGCAATTGACATTGTATAGTTGAAGGTATTGCGGTACCATGATCGATCATGACTACCAGAATCTTATCTAGTATGATATTAAGGGTTTGGTCATTTGTATTTTTTGAGTTAATGTGACTTCAGTTTAGACCTTGATTTGAGTTAATGTGTATTTGAGTATGGTTTGAGTTGTGACTCTAATTTGAGTTTGTGTTTGGATGTGCACATTTTAAGTTATGGTTTGAATTGAGAATCTATTTGAGTTTGTATTTTGGTGGGTCAAAACTTGAATTTGTATTTGGATAGTATTTTAATAAGAACTCAATGGTGATGAAAAATTTTAATATGGTATATAAGTGGGGTTTTATTCGTCTCTTCATTGTGAACGCATAGAAAAAAATCATCTCAATCGAAATTAAAACGAAAAAGTTATAACGTTTTTAATAATAGAAAAAGTATTATTCATTAACTTGAGTTTGAGTTTAGAAACTTGAGTTGAAAGAGGAACTTAAACTCAGATTTAAGCTCCAAACTCAAGTTAAAACTCAAATTTTATAAAAGAACATGTACTTAAATAAAATTGTAACTTGATTTTAAATTTTTTTTTTTAAAATTTAAGTGCAAATGAACAAATCCTAAAATTTCTAACTAATCACCGGTTAGTGACCAACAATTATCCTACTATGGTGTGATACTTCTAACAACCGACGACCGATGGTATCCTACTATGTGCTTTACAGTTGTGGATCATTGGCTAGAAACCGCAGGTACAAGCGCTGCCGACCATGCTGTCGTGGTCACTAGAAAGCGTGAAAAAAAAAAAAAAAAAAAAACATGTACATAACATCACAAATAATCCGCAAAATTTACAAAAATAATCACAAAAATTCCAATAATATCACAGAAATCACAAAATTATCTGAGGTAAAAATATATCTTCGACGGAATAATCTAGTCATTGTTGTTCAAGCTCAGTGGCCAAAAATACCCAAAAAAAATAAATAAATAAATTTTGCGGACTCCTCTCAACCGTACAAAACTAGAAAAGGAGTTGAAACGGGCGTATTTCCTAAATTCTCTAAAATAAATTGTCCATCCCAATATAATGCAAATAATATATTATGTGGCCAAGATGGTCTATTATACATCAGTTATTAATAAACATGTTATATACAGAACATTTTTTTCTTGAAGGTTCATACAAAACATTTTGATATTAATACGTGAGTTTAGCTAATTGCATATAAAATTAATAATCTAACATTATTATATACCCTTTCCAAAAAAATCATTAGTATATACAGTATGTATATTTTATGTGGAATCTTGAACTCTTTTGTATATAAAACTCGAAGAATCTATCAGCGTTGCGGCAGCCTGCAAGCTCTTGATACTTTACCAAATAGATATTATGTTCGTCTTTGTCCCATACTAGGTCACAATATATATATATATATATATATATATATATGCATTGTTTTTGCTCAAAAATATATGCGTCATTTCAATTGCTCAAGTTTATCTGAATATGTGACTCATCTAGACACCTATAACATTTTAGCTTTTTTTAAAGAAAAAAAAAAAAAACTTCAAGTGGAATCTCTGAGAATGTTGTTCGATTTCAGCAATTTTTTGTTCATAATAAAAGAATATCAATATATTAAAGAATTCAAAATTTATATTACAAAGCATATCGAAAGTATTAATTTCCTCCTAATTTAGTTTTGTAACTAGGGGATAACGGTTTAACTAATTATTACTCAAAAAAATAGTTTAATTAATTAAGTAACTAAATTGTCACATCATCAAATGCTTTTGTATCTTTATGGTAGTTATTTATCAATGAATTACCTGGCAAGCCCAGTTGTATTATTTTGGCCGGAGCAACTCCGACGTATCCATGATCTTTGGAGGCTCAGCAGTACAATCAATTAGCTAACCTGTAAATGATATATTTCCCTAAAAACAAAAAACAAAAGTGTGTGATATATTAATAATAATTGTTAAAAGCATATAATGATATTTATTTTCTTCAGATTTAGGTTCCCAGCGAATTTCAGTCTTGATTGCAAGGAAGCATTAGTATTAAAAAAAATGTTCACTAAAAAAATTTGTATTGAAAAAAAAAAAAAAAAAAAAACACTATGCGTACGCGTTTAACCAAAGTGAAAAAAGGATCAGGCGTCAAGTGCTATTCATAATCAACCTCTTTTACGTACACCCTACACTAATTTCTGTAGAACTCGGGCCCGTTCGGTTCGCTAATTTGAGTTTTTAATTCGAGTTAAGATGTGATGTTGTGTGAGAGCTTTTTACTGTAGTAAAAAAGTTAGATGTGACTGTTTTTTATAGCTTTTTATTATAACAAAACTCGAATTCTAAACTCGAATCAGTGAAAAGAACGGGACCAACTTTTGTATCTATATTATATAATTATTTTTTATCTAAATAGTAAATTATATATATATATTATATAACTAATACTTTTGTATGTTTATGAATGTATATGGGGCCCTATCATGGGTTGACAAAATTGCCTAAATCCCGTGGCGATCCAAGGTAGATGGAGACTGATTATGATGTACCAATACAATATATAAGCCACCTAAAAGCAGAAACAGGAAGATAAATAGTTTTGCGTGACATAAGTTATTAAGAAACCCTATAGAAGACTTAGGCAAATCAAGTATGATTGGTCACCTAATTAATGCACCTGATTACAATTCCTTTCTATATTGATAAAAACAATGTGGAAAAAAAACAATTTTTTTCTACGAGAAAAAATATATATGTTGATCAATTTTTTTTAAAAGGAATATTGATCAAATTTTTGCTTCTGATCAATGAACAATTATTCCTAAAGAAGTTTGACTTAATTTCATTACTTCAGTTTCAACCATGTAAAAATAATCTCAAGTTGACAGATTTTTTATGAGGAAATTGTTAAACTTACTTTGAAAAATATGTGTATGAATTTTTACTCTTTATTCTTAATTAGTACTATTTTCTTAATGTATTTATTTGACTAAAAAAGATATTAATTAAGAGTGATGGGTAAAAAAACAAGATCCATACACTTTTAAAGTATATTTGTCAAGATTTTTCATTTTTATTTTATTTTTATGGAAAAAAATGTATACATCCCTTTCCTTTCCGTTATCTCTACACCTCTCATTTTTGACTGTCCGATTGGTATCCTACGATGGATAAATAAACAAACTCATCCTTACTAATGTGAGCCATACACATTAGATTAAAAACAAAAAAAGAAAAGAAAGTTAAGTTACGTTTAGTTTATGAGTTTAAAATCATGTTTCATGATTTTGATTTTTAAAATTTAAATTTTTTATAAGAAAAAAATACTATAACAGAACCAATAACCATGATCCTAATTTAGAAAGAACCCCTTAAAACAAATATCATTTTAAATATATGAAAAGTTGTCGCGGTCAATGGCTTGAGGGCAGAGGATTGCCGACAACCAGATCACGACACTGGAGCTATTGGCTGGCATCCCACCACCAAGGGTCACGGCAGAAACTGCGACCCATCGCAGTTGCGACGGAAGTCATGACGCGACCCATCACAACGCAAATCGTGACCACCATTGCGATGCTATCTAGGGTTGCATAAAACCCACCCCGCACCTACCAAACTGCCCGCCCCGCCCTGCCCTCAGCGATCCATGTCAGCAAGCCGCCAATCGGCGGGTTGAAATCGCCCGCCAATACACTAAGCGGGCGGTTGGCGGATTGACACTTTTGGGGGCGGGTTGAACCTTGAACCCGACCCGCTCGCCACTTAATATATATTTAAAAAAAAGGACTTTTACTTGCTCTGTTTTTACAGACTTATGGTTTTACTTACCCTCTCCTCCCA